GCTCCACCAAAGTTGAGGTTTTTTCCAGGTGAGTATGATAGACTGAAAAGAACAGAAAGTGCTTGGAAAAGAGTAAATATGGTAATGGCCCATCAAATCTAAAGGTAAGGAGGGATGTGAAGATACGAGGCTTAATGAGTAGTAAAAAAGTCATGAAGTCAATGGAATGAAGATCTCATGAGGAGAAAAGAAAAAATAATATTAAATCAATATTTTTAAAAATGTTAAGAATACCCCACTAACAGATTATGCAGTACCTGGTGATAATAAGCTAGAAGGTATGACAATGATGGTGGATGGCTGAGTAGGAATGTGGTAACTTTATGACACATGGGAAGATGTGTCATAGCAGCTCTCAGGTCACCAAGATAGATGGATCGTGCACTTGGAGGTTGGCATCACTTTGAATGATGGCAGGGGTATGCACTGAGGATATGAATGAGTCAGGAGCAAAAGCCATCAGCGAGAGATTTGGCTAAGAGGTCAGGCAGTGGATGACAGGGGAGAGGTTATAAATAATTAAGCCAAATATGTGTTTCAGAATGGATGAAGTCTTTGAAAGAGTAAAGAGGATAAATTATTTTGGGAGATAAAATGTAGAACAAGAAAATTCCTCCATCTTTTGAGTTATTTGAGTGAAGAAGAAAAAACAGCCACACTTTAAAGGATTGCACTGAACAACATTTGCCAGAAGACAGCCAGATTCTTTTAAGGTAAAGGAAGCAATTAGAAATTTTCAACAAACCGAAGACAAAAGAGAGTTTGCTAATTGCAAATCAGACTTTAAAGATGCTGGAGGAGGAGACAGGGTAAAACTAGCAGATAGAGGCAGCACCATGTGCATGGTTTTATGGTGATGGTGGAAGACAGAGTTTGGGCTTTCTCATGAGTAGAAGGCCTTTACAGCAACATGGGAATTCTTCCCAGAAAGACAGCTAATCATTTCAGGCAGTGGTTTTATTCTTCAATAACAGTGGGATGAGATATCTGTACCCATCCGCAGCCCTTACTGATGTGGCCTTCTGGGGCTGAGGACAGGGCAGGTAGCAATGGGCTATTCTCAGAGTGACTGCCCTCCACCCACCACTGCTACAACTGAGAGAAGGCAATCATTAATAAAGACCATTCTGTTTAAAATTAATTCCATTTAAGCAAGCAGGGTGGCACTTAATTAATTTTCTTAAGAGTTATACCCAATTTGTAAAATATGTTGGATTTAAAGGAATACAGCCATAAAGCCTCAGTTCCTAGGTAGTGCAACTTGCAACAATAACTGATCCCCTGAGGGTTTCTGATAACCAAGCTCAGGTTCTATTAAGAAAATTATCATGAAACTGGGAGATATTTACCAGGGATAAGAAGAATGACTGGGACTGGAAATTAATCCTTCCTCACTATTCAAGGGAGATTAGGTTCTTAAGAAATTGTTACAAATTTGAGCTCCCACAATTCAACACAGATTTTGAAATGTTGGCAAGGACACAAAAGACCAAGAGAAATTATTTTAAAAATTGTACACATATCTGAGGAAAGGTGAAAGGTTTATGTATTTGGAAGAAGAGTAGATTCAGGAATGATCATTTCTGCTTTCAATCCTATATTAAGACAAGTAATTTTGTCATTAAATTGGCATGAAGGAACTGCAGTAGTAGAGAGTGCGCTGAAGCCTAAGGAAGACATGGCTTAAATACCAATAGTTCATCAAAGGGGAGTGTGAAAATGTTACTTCTGGAGCTAAAGTCTTACAAGTTCAGCTGACGCTCTCCAGAAAGCAATGGACTAGGTAGATCCCACCTATGTTACCTAACAGTGTGTGCAGAATACTAGATTAAATAATGCATTAGGAGAAAAAAATGTTAGGCATTTTCATAGATATTCTATCTAAGCCATAGAATCTAAGGAATTGAGAGGTAACACTGCCTTTTTACCTTTATCTCTATCAGACTAATTCAGTAAAATCTGGGAACTTGACCCAATTTGGTTTTCTTTGTGTCACACAGGGCACTGGATAGTTTAATGTCTGTCAATTTACCCATGTGTGAATAGTGATAACCGCTTTGAGAATGTGTTGGGAGAGTTGACACTGTATAAGACCAACTAACAGCCAGCATGGGGCATTGCTGCTACACAGAGCCAGCATAAGAACTGAGCCAGGCCTCTTTCCAGGGAAGCATCTGAAAGTTGCCTTCTATATGATGTGGGGAAAATGGAAGAATGCAGGGAAGTTCTCCCTCAAAGATGGCCTCACTACTTTTGGAGAGGTCTCGACAGATTTCGTATTTTACCCAGGATCACTGCTTCTTTTTCAAATAAATCTGGTCCTGGAAAAATAACACACACTGAGAATAAATCATTTGGAAGCAGGTATGGTTAATGGGGATAATGACTGAGAGTGCTCTGAATAGACACGCATACAAGTTTTTTGGGGAAGGAAGGCAGAAGGGAAGGCAGAAAGAAGAGCAAAAATTCTATGGACAGAACTTCTCTTGGTCAATTTGCCCAGGACCCAACCTGCTTTCAAAACTCAATACCGCTATTTATTTCTGGTCATGAAGGAAAGATTCCCGATGCGTAGGTTAAAACCAGAATCCCAGATTTATGTAAAGCATTCCAGAAATACAAGAAGCAAGTTTCATCTTTCCGTAGAACTTGTGCAGTGTGAATGAAAGGGGAGGATGGAAATTTAATACAAATATATTTTCTCTCTATACCTGTAACAAAACTCAGTTTCACAAGCCACTTCAGGCATCAAGAACCTAAAACACATCTTGTATTCTGGGGGAAAATTTTTTTATGTAACTATTAAAGGAATACAGCCATAAAGCCTCAGTTCCTAGGTAGTGCAACTTGCAACAATAACTGATCCCCTGAGGGTTTCTGATAACCAAGCTCAGGTTCTATTAAGAAAATTATCATGAAACTGGGAGATATTTACCAGGGATAAGAAGAATGACTGGGACTGGAAATTAATCCTTCCTCACTATTCAAGGGAGATTAGGTTCTTAAGAAATTGTTACAAATTTGAGCTCCCACAATTCAACACAGATTTTGAAATGTTGGCAAGGACACAAAAGACCAAGAGAAATTATTTTAAAAATTGTACACATATCTGAGGAAAGGTGAAAGGTTTATGTATTTGGAAGAAGAGTAGATTCAGGAATGATCATTTCTGCTTTCAATCCTATATTAAGACAAGTAATTTTGTCATTAAATTGGCATGAAGGAACTGCAGTAGTAGAGAGTGCGCTGAAGCCTAAGGAAGACATGGCTTAAATACCAATAGTTCATCAAAGGGGAGTGTGAAAATGTTACTTCTGGAGCTAAAGTCTTACAAGTTCAGCTGACGCTCTCCAGAAAGCAATGGACTAGGTAGATCCCACCTATGTTACCTAACAGTGTGTGCAGAATACTAGATTAAATAATGCATTAGGAGAAAAAAATGTTAGGCATTTTCATAGATATTCTATCTAAGCCATAGAATCTAAGGAATTGAGAGGTAACACTGCCTTTTTACCTTTATCTCTATCAGACTAATTCAGTAAAATCTGGGAACTTGACCCAATTTGGTTTTCTTTGTGTCACACAGGGCACTGGATAGTTTAATGTCTGTCAATTTACCCATGTGTGAATAGTGATAACCGCTTTGAGAATGTGTTGGGAGAGTTGACACTGTATAAGACCAACTAACAGCCAGCATGGGGCATTGCTGCTACACAGAGCCAGCATAAGAACTGAGCCAGGCCTCTTTCCAGGGAAGCATCTGAAAGTTGCCTTCTATATGATGTGGGGAAAATGGAAGAATGCAGGGAAGTTCTCCCTCAAAGATGGCCTCACTACTTTTGGAGAGGTCTCGACAGATTTCGTATTTTACCCAGGATCACTGCTTCTTTTTCAAATAAATCTGGTCCTGGAAAAATAACACACACTGAGAATAAATCATTTGGAAGCAGGTATGGTTAATGGGGATAATGACTGAGAGTGCTCTGAATAGACACGCATACAAGTTTTTTGGGGAAGGAAGGCAGAAGGGAAGGCAGAAAGAAGAGCAAAAATTCTATGGACAGAACTTCTCTTGGTCAATTTGCCCAGGACCCAACCTGCTTTCAAAACTCAATACCGCTATTTATTTCTGGTCATGAAGGAAAGATTCCCGATGCGTAGGTTAAAACCAGAATCCCAGATTTATGTAAAGCATTCCAGAAATACAAGAAGCAAGTTTCATCTTTCCGTAGAACTTGTGCAGTGTGAATGAAAGGGGAGGATGGAAATTTAATACAAATATATTTTCTCTCTATACCTGTAACAAAACTCAGTTTCACAAGCCACTTCAGGCATCAAGAACCTAAAACACATCTTGTATTCTGGGGGAAAATTTTTTTATGTAACTTGATTTGTTTGGCTCTGACAGATAAAGGAGAGAAAAGGGAGCCTTTTTTTTCAAAACGCTCAGATCATATTTATGCATTATTTCTGGACATAATTTTTTTTGTAAATGTTCATGCAAAAGTTCATTGTTTCATGGCTCTCAAAGCATTCCAAGCAATCACAATAATTTGGAGATTTCTTTTTTTACTTAACATTAAACAGGTGAGGCTTTTGCAGCATTTACTAAATTTCAGTTACCATAAATGAAAAGCCAAGAAAGCAATTCAAGACATGCAAGGTTTAGGAAAATTATTTCTTACTAGAACAGCTCTGAAATATCTATCTATAGTATCACCATACACATTAACTTCTTTTCTTAACTGATGAATTTGTTATGGGTAAGATATGTTAAAACAAACTTTTTACATGTAACATTGTTAAGATGACAAATTGGCAATTAGAGCTCCTTTAACATAATTTTAAGAGCTTTATATATACTATGTAATTTGGATTCTACTGCTTAATTTGAGTGACTATAGAGTAATTGGGGTTTTTCTGAGACTGAGAAGCATTTCTCAAGGTTAGTCTTTCCAAACAGAAAATTGAGTGTTGTGAATTCCACCTCCCACAGACCAGAATTCACAACCATTGGTCAGGGGCGAATACCACTGGCTCTGCGTCCTCAGTCACTTCGTGCCATTTCACCAAGTAGGAGTCAAAGGTAAGTTTTTACACTTGCTTTCTTCTTAGCCAGAGACTTTTTTTTTCCTACTATAACAACCTTTAAAAAAATAATTCAACTTGCTTTAATGTCTCGTGGTGAACTTGGATTCAATGGGTTTGGTTTAATTATTTTCTATTTTCTATTTATATTATCCTTGGAAAATCCAAACTTCTGAATTAGCTTAGGAATTAATAATGCATACATTAAAACAGTTGATCTTAATAGCCAGGATAGATGCCAATAAAATTATAGTAGTTTCCAGTATAGTCCTTAAATCAATTGCCCTAACATAGTCCATGTTCTTTGCCAATATAGACAGGCACTATTGGATGATGTTGGTTGTAATGTTATGCAAATGAAGAAAATGGTTAGGTTCAGGTGTTCAAAAATATACTGATGATCATATGGATTTATGCATTTAGAATGCCTTTTTAAGCTATATATTTTAAAGATTTACATAAGCATACATTTTCAAAATATCATGAAATGGTTTAAAGGGACAACAAATTCAAAGTTTCAACAGACACCACATTAAATACTAATACAGTTACTTTAAGGAAGCTATATACAGTTTTTAACTAAACATAGATAAGCATTCTTCACTTTTCTAAGGTTCACACAGACTGCCTTATTGATTATAGTTTCAGGGCGTATGCCAAATGCATACGCCCTGAAACTATAATATCTACACATTTATAATAAAATATTGAGTATAAAGTGAGAAAAAGACTCAGCAAATGCACAATTTTTTGAACAATGAAAGTTTACAAGATTTACAAGGAAAACAATTATTTTTAGGTTACTGGTACCCACTGTTAATGCTTCCCACTTAGATATGGAAAAATGCTTCCTGACAGATCTACAAATACCACTGTTTTATTAGGTAGGACTCTGCTGGTAATGGCATAGAACAGCTCCAAATATGCAATCCTGAAAAGCCCTCTGCGAGGGCAAGTAAAATAGAGGCTCAGTTCATCCAGTGTGAATAAAAAATTTTATTTGAAGAAAGTATAGGAAGGGATAAAAAGGAACTCCTTGTACTGCTTCTTATTCTCAGAGGAATTTCATATCCTTCTGCCTAAACCTGCTTCATAAAGACTTTCTTTCAAGGAACTGAAGGTCAGTTTGTCTGCCAGTGCTTTCAAGTTTAAAAGTAATATTGATTATGAATTCCCTTTTTTATGGGTGTGTAGGTACAAACAACATATGTGCTATTCTTACAGTAAACCCAGAAAGTGTATCCTAAATACAAACCCTTTAAAATTAGATGTGCTTGAAAACAAGTTTTATAAACACTTTGCTTCCTCAATAAATGATTACTAGGAAACATTTTTGATAGGTCCAACTTAAATATTTAAAATTTAGCACGAGGGTTTTTTTTTAAACTAAAATGTATTCAAAAGAGTACATCCAGAGATAAAAATAATTAAAATTATAAGCTCTTGATTGAATTCTGCAAGATCATATTGTTCTCATAGAAGGTAAGAATTATTCTTATTAAAGAATTACAAAGGAAAAGGTTGCTCTAGTCCCTCATGTGTGCAAACTGTAAGGAAATTATGTCAAATAGTACCTTTTAGACATGCATTCCTATTGATTCTGGATTTAAACCTGAGATAGCTACTGAGAATTGAAATAAAACAAGAAAGACTTAAGGAAAAAAAATATAATCATCTTGTCTGCTTTACTTAGTTAAAAACAAGTTTTCAAAAATATTTCATGAAATATTAATTTATGTACATATTAAATTTTGTATGTATTAATGATATCCAGAGGCAGCAAGGAGGTAAGGAATAAAAGTTCTGTCTGGAAAAAGCCCTAGCTTTGAATGTACAAGAGACAGGTAATGATTTCTAGTTGTATCACTACACAGCTGTGTCCTCATTTCCTTCTCTCGGAAATAGTGTAACCACTGTAGCCATCATCATCATCCATCCTGCATCTCAGAATTAATGAAAGAATCTTAATGTTTAGTAAATGATAAGATCAGATCACATAAATGCTTTTGGGAATGAGTGTATCACAATATTTCTGTGTCCCATTTTCCCCATGTTTCTCTATAAATAAAATCAGTTTCACTGTACTTACAATATCTATTGTAAGAAGGTGGACAGATGTGTGAATTAACTTGAACATCAGAGGTAACAATACTCAGAATGCATACAATTTCCTGTGCTATGCTTATAAATTACCCATTTAAAGAAGCTACCAGCTTGAGTTCCTTTGTGTTAACACTGAGTCATCATTTTTATTTAGTGCCAACTATTTGTAAGTTACCATCAATTAAATATGTATGCATTTTAATATTTTATGATTAGAAAAGCTTGAAAAATGAAAACACTAGCAAGACTTATCCTGGGACTCATCATCTTTGATGCCGCTGTGGCCGCTCCAACCCTGGAGCCCATCAACTATGACTCAGAAACCTACGATGCCACCTTGGAAGACCTGGATAATTTATACAACTATGAAAACGTACCTATTGGTCAAGCTGAGGTAATTGATTCCTCCTACTCTTGAGACTTTTAAAAGCGTTTTATGAGGGGTTATTGGGGTTTGTTCTCTTCAAATAGATTTTTTATTAAGAAATGTAAGTGCTGTATCTCAATAATTCCCTATGAATATTTTCCCCAGAACATGTGCCATCCATTCATTGCAGGTGAACACTGGCACATCGTTTTGTTTTTTTACAGTTCACTTTACTTCCTTTATATCTCCTCATAACATTGGGGGAGAAAAAAGTTTCTTTCAAATTAGAACAGAGAAAATTCAAGGAAAAGACAATCATAAGGACAATAAGAATAACACAGAAGCAATGATAAGCTGAAGATAAAGGGTAAAGGAAAAAGGTGTGAGATTAAGGTAAATTAGAAGAAAATAATAAAGATGCAGAGAAAGGACAATGGTTTGGAATACCACGCATTCCAAGAGCGAGTATACATAATTATCTCTCAGCGGTAATGTAGGCATTGGCAAAGTTACAGGCCATTACATAAATTTGAAACGACATGTTCCTAATTAAATGCTAGGCTTTTTCACACAGCTAAAGGATACAGACTAATTTTTCTGAATCAGAAAACAAACAGAGCTTGAAATGCTGGATTGTAATTAGTGTACAACATTGACGAAAACCAATTAAGTATGAATCAACCAAAAGGGAAATTACATCACCTTTACAGGATCATAGCATAATTTCGGCAGTCGGTCAAGTGTAAATCTTCTTAAAATAGCTAGTTTTGATAAGTAGGTCAATGGAATGTTTACACAAAAAGGTATGTTTAAATTGCATGGAACTCAGATATATCTTTATTAAGATGGCAAACTTTCTCATTTTTGTTTATGTTGCCATATCAAATACAAGAATCAGATTTTCACATGATTGTGTTCACACATCTTCTCCCCTGTTGAATTTGCCTCTCCCTGCCTTTCTCCCTTTTGCCCTCCCCTCCCCCCACCAATTCCTCTCTGTCCCTCTTTCTCTCTTTCCCTCCTTTTAGTAAAGTTTCAGTCTTGGCAGCAGATCACTATATTTCTGCACCTTTGATCATGACTCTATTTTCGAAGTCTTTATTAATATTTGCTGTTTGATTCATTTCACTGTGTGGCTTCTCTTATTTTAAGAGTATTTTCTGTTAAGAATTTATGTTCATTGACCCCAGTCGCTCTGTATGTGGTCTCCAGCTCCAGCCTAACGCATCAATAGAGAGTATATGTTGTCAGTGCTTCGCTCATCTGGCCTGCTCCTATTTGCCATCTTGCATAAATATTTTTAAAAGCTCAGTGTATATCTGCAATTATTTATTTAATGAAATATTTTAGTTTAAACTTCTTTGTCATTCCTCCAAAAATATTTAGTAGGATCAAAGAGGTTTGGTGAGTACCATAGTAAATCCTCTATTTTGAGCTGGGCTGGGGAGTGTCTTCAAGGGATAGCTTATTCCTTTCACAAGATCAAATGCAAAATAAAAGCATACCATGTGAAAACAATGCTGCCCTAGACAAAATTGTGAAGGAGGTGGGTTTTACCTGTAGACCTCCTTTAGCTACTCATGCTGTCAGGATTCCTTTTTGCTGCTCTGAAAGAGCTAGACCTTCTCATGAGATTCTGAAGCTGTTCTTGCCAATAAGAAAGTAAGGCTAATAGGAGATAGATAGATAGATGATTTAGTATACAACCTTCCCTCAGTACTTGCTTATTCTGGAATAGCAACCTTCCTGCAGGGTCCTAAATATGTAACATTGTTTCCTTACACACCCCAACACACCCCAACCTTTTCCTCATGTAAACATCCCTATTTTTCACATGAGCTGTTGTTAATAATCCCTTGTGGCTGACTGAAGTATATGTCATTCCTGATCTAATATCAAATTGGTTTAAAGAGAGATATACATGTGCTATAATGTATAAAACATATTCAAAAACATAAACTGTACATCACTTTTTTAAGTTACAAAATTAATTCAGTAGCAAAAATTAATCAACCAACCCACTCACCCACCACCTATGAAAACAATTTCCAAAAAATGGAAACAATATGACAGAATAAATAAGATGTGAGGAACAAAATTCAGAAGAGCTTTAGCTCAGATCCTAGCAAATTAGTAATTAAATGGGTTTACAAATAAAGAACAATATATAACTCCCTATGGGAAGATACGAAATGAGGCCAGTAGACCTGGTTGTATGGATGGATTCTAGAATATAGTTCCTTACAATATGAATTTCTTGAATGCAGTCTTGGAAGTTCAGAATTTGGCAACTTCTGGTAAGCTTATTTGTCTCATCTTTATAAATTAAGGGTAGTTCAACACGTTCTTGGTTTTACATGACACTTTTTTGAGTGAACATTGGTAACACACCCATATAAGGTACAGTTAATGAAAAAATTCATGGTAAGTGAAGCACATGGAGAATAGTGGGATCAGATTCTTCAGGTTTTTATCCTTGATCCCAAGAGTAAGGTTCTGCTTGTTTTAGCCTAGAATTTACTTATTTGTAGAAAAGGCAAACTTATATTCTAAAATTATAAATCTATGGGATAACTGAGCAATGTTTCTGAAATATATGTTTCCTTACACACCCCAACACACCCCAACCTTTTCCTCATGTAAACATCCCTATTTTTCACATGAGCTGTTGTTAATAATCCCTTGTGGCTGACTGAAGTATATGTCATTCCTGATCTAATATCAAATTGGTTTAAAGAGAGATATACATGTGCTATAATGTATAAAACATATTCAAAAACATAAACTGTACATCACTTTTTTAAGTTACAAAATTAATTCAGTAGCAAAAATTAATCAACCAACCCACTCACCCACCACCTATGAAAACAATTTCCAAAAAATGGAAACAATATGACAGAATAAATAAGATGTGAGGAACAAAATTCAGAAGAGCTTTAGCTCAGATCCTAGCAAATTAGTAATTAAATGGGTTTACAAATAAAGAACAATATATAACTCCCTATGGGAAGATACGAAATGAGGCCAGTAGACCTGGTTGTATGGATGGATTCTAGAATATAGTTCCTTACAATATGAATTTCTTGAATGCAGTCTTGGAAGTTCAGAATTTGGCAACTTCTGGTAAGCTTATTTGTCTCATCTTTATAAATTAAGGGTAGTTCAACACGTTCTTGGTTTTACATGACACTTTTTTGAGTGAACATTGGTAACACACCCATATAAGGTACAGTTAATGAAAAAATTCATGGTAAGTGAAGCACATGGAGAATAGTGGGATCAGATTCTTCAGGTTTTTATCCTTGATCCCAAGAGTAAGGTTCTGCTTGTTTTAGCCTAGAATTTACTTATTTGTAGAAAAGGCAAACTTATATTCTAAAATTATAAATCTATGGGATAACTGAGCAATGTTTCTGAAATATATGCCAGTTTCTTTCTTATAAATCCTGAGGCTTGGCATCTTAGGCCAATGTAGTAGGCATTTTGGTCTAGACTTTGAATGATTAATCCTTAAAGATTTTGATATATGTTATAGGGAGAATTCTAGTGTGTCCCCTAAGTGGCCTATCCCCTAGTGTGTCCTTGCTCTCTATAATTCTTAACATCACGAATATATTGAGCTATCCCTGCATATATAAATTATGTTATATGGCACAGTTGAAATGTAAAAAGGGAGACCATCTTGGCCAACCTGACCTAAACTCATGAACCCTTTAAAGTTAGTGTTTTGAGATCAGGGATCAAAGATTATCTCCGTTAGCCTGCTTAAACTCTGAGCCCTTTACATCAGTGTCTTGAAATCAGGGACAAAATTTGAAGCATGAAAGAAATTCAGTGCAAGAGAAATCATCTGTTGCTGGCTTGAAGGTTGGATGGGTCCATGTAGCAAAGAATACAGGGAGTTGTAGATGCTGAGAGAAGCTGACAGTCAGCAAGCATATGGGGACCTTAGTTATGCAGATACAAGAAACCCTGAGCTCTTCATGAGAAAACAACCCTGGCTGTAACCTTGATTTTGGCCTTGTGAGACACTCAACAGAGAATCCAGTCCAGCCATACCTGGACTTCTGACTCACTGTGAGTTAAAAAACAGTAGAGTTTTAAGCTGCTAAATTTATGGCAATTTGCTATGCAGCCATAGAAAGCTAATACAACATGTAATAATTTAAACTTTTGTCTGAAAACCACATTTGAATTATATTGCCACAAAGCTTGCATTTGTGAGTCCAGTGATTTATCTAGTCAATGAGCCAAACCCCTGGATCCAGAGGGTTAGAATCTCAGTACAGCTTTATTGCTATCTAACAGTAGGTAGTATGTTCATTACCTCCTTAGTGCTTAGAGAAGGGTCATGAAAGTTATTTCCTTTATGAAAGTTATATGCAGTAATAGTAATACAGACTGATGATCTAGAATATCCAGGATCTGCTGGATCCTGTGTCAGGAGATTTTAGAGCTAGCAATTCCAGCATAATGCTCTGTATCACCTAGTGTATAAATTTGTTGGTGTAACATAAAATTGTTGCAGTTTTTTACTTTATTTTACTTTAATGGTATGAATAGGAATTGGTTATAAGTGGTAAAACTAAAATACAAACCTTTTGCTTCCTGATGAATAATAGGTAACCCTGATTGAGCACTTATTATGTTCTAGGTACTGTTCTAGGCCTGTCACATGCATTATCTCATTGATTTCGCACAACAAAACTATAAAGTACTTATTGTCCTTCATATTGAATAGGTGAGGATATTGAGACAAGGAGCAGTTAAGTAACTTGACTAAGATTACATACTTATTAATAGTATAGAATTGTGGTGATGTTATAGTCTCCTATCAGAAAATAATTTCCAGCAGATTAATAAAAGATTACTTTATCCTCCCTCCATTTTCTGCCATTTTCCAAATTGTCCTTTTAATTTGGTATTGGTTTTAGTTGAACTGAATGCCAGGGACTCCAACACCCCTAAAAGAGAAAGAAAATTATTCTTTTATGGGTACAATAATGTCTAAAACCTTTATAGACAGT